TTTTTATGATCACGTCATTGTGTTGGACGGCACTAGGGAGTACCATTCACCATATTTTTGATTGTATCTTGTAAGGATACACACAAAAGAGGGTTTCTAGAACTGCTTCAGAAAATGGCAAGAATGATGGGTTAAGTGTGAAGCAAGAAGGAGTATCTTGGGGGAATTAATAGGAATGTGTCTTTTACTGTAATTATTCTAAAAATTTTAACTATTCACTGTATATTTGGAGCATCCTTTTTATTTGGGGATTAAATAAAATCTATAGTTGATCTTGTTTTCAAGATCACAACACAAATGTCATATCTTAACACAAATGTCATATCTTAACACAAATGTCATATCTTAACACAAATGTCATACCTCTACCCAACTTACAGAAGATTTATAGCTGGTGCCCTATGGATCAAAGACGTTGCTTCTAAAAGGAACAAGAACACTTTCCATTTACAAAATATTTCAAAGTTTATGCAGAACTTTTCTTTGTGTTTAATTTTTCAAAAAACTGTATAAATTAGGATGGGCAGAAATCATCATCCTTACTTTACAGGTAAGGCAACAAGGATCAAGCAAGAAGTGAATGTGCCTAATTTAAGATCAAGGAGTCAGGGAAGGATGGCGTGGTATTTGAATTCTCATCTGCTATGGTCAAACCTGATATTTTAAAAGTCCCCTTTGTTCCTTTTTGATACTGAAAAACATATGTCTTGTCTGGACAGTCCAATGAGGTCTAGAATCTTAGGCTTCCAAGCATCTTGTCAATCATAAGATGTATTTGTAAAATGACTTACCTTTTGGGGTAGTCTTCCTACCTTTTAAAAAATAGAGCCATTCTACTTAACCAGAAAATCAACCTCTCCATGCTGAGGGCCCTGACCACATTCACTTTCAAGGGATCTTCAAGACTTTAAATACGGTACAATAAACGGTATGGCCCTGCCAGCCGCAAATGCCTTCACTGTTTGGTTCAGAGTCCATTCCCCATCTCACACCCTCCAGGCACATGATCAGGTACACTTAACTCCAGGAACTGTGGACATGATAAAGCTCTGGGGTAAAATAAAACCGAGCTTCTTGCAAAAGCAACAGGGCCCCAAGTATACAAAGAGGTTTAACAGTTTTGGAAAGGAAGCCCTGAGAATGTTGCTGTTTACGGTAGAGACTTTATGTCTCTACCCATAAGAGTTTGAGCTGATTCCTAGGAGACTTGGGGTCTTCTAAGAGATGGAGCAGCTTTGCTTACCATTTCTGTTCATGATTTTGCCTACACACTCCTGCACCTACCTGAACAACAGACCACGGGACATGAAAATACGTAAAATTGTGACTCCCTCCTACAAAGGTCATTCCTCCCAATTCTTTTCTGTTCCTTTCCAGGGTGCAGGAAAAAACACTTTGAATGCCCGAGTGTGTGGAAGAAATAGCACCAGGTTAGGGCTGAAGAGAAGCCCACTTACCTACTTTCTTCTTCAGGCAACTCCTTCCTCCTCTATCTCCTCCCTTGCTAATGTGGGGACATGGGGTTTCTGACAGGATTCCGTGAGAAATTGCTCTAGTATAAGGTCCCTGAGCTATGAGTGGTAACACTGTGTGTCATTATTCCTTCTGCTACGCTAGGCAGGACTGTAGCACTCACTCCTCTTGTCAACCACCTACTAGCACGAACCACAGCAGAACAAGGAATTCCTTCACGCTGGCCTGTGACTTTTGGAAGCATTTATGTTGTCAGCAACCAAAAGACAAAATATCTCACAGTAATGTGTGAGAGACAACTAGAACAAAACTAGAACACATTTTAAAAAGCAACTGATTGACTTGGGATATTCCTGAGCAGTAAAGCCCTTCCTTCCGCCATCTTTGCTTTGCTGTTGTTGGCTCTTGCTTAATCCTCTTCGTATTTGAAACAGGCATCAGGAAGAGAGGACACTGCTTTTATTTCTACACAGTAAGAAAGCTTCCTTCGCTAACTCAAAGTGAATTTGAAGCAAAAATCTTTGCTGGCAAAAAGTCCTTGTACAACTCAGCATTTCTGTCAAAAGCCAACTATGTCGGGAGAAAGTGCTGAAATTTGGGTTTTATGTAAGATGAAATGAAAAATCATATTTTCTACTCCAATTTGATTTTCCCTTTGTTCAGTAGAGACAGTGAAGTTCACTTCTATGCCAGAGTTGGTGGAAGAAAGCTCCATCTGGGTATCATTATTATAAAAATGTTGAAATAACCACGGTAGCTCAGATGAATGAAAGTGGAAGAGAGCAGAACAGAAATACGAGCTTCAGATCAGGCACACTGCAGTCTGAGCCCTGTCTCCACAGCTCACTGTGGCACCGTGGGTAGGGGAGTTCACCTCCCTGAGCTTCCGCTTCCTCATTTGTCACATGACAATACTGTAAACCTGTGAATGACTTTGGAATTAGAAATAATTGATATAAAGCACCCAGCACGGTGCCTGACATAAAGGAGTCTCTCAGTGATTACTAAGTGGAAATTTATGGGCTTTGAAAGAAGTGAGATGTTTTGTAACCCCAAATCCACCTTCTTTTTTCTTCCTGTGGGCCCTTTTGCAGAGACAGAATCACGTTTCCTTTCAAGTTCCAAAAGTTTGCTAAGAATAAAATGTTCAAAAGTACACAAAACCTTTGTCTTATAAAAACCACACATAGAGAAAAGTTCCTTGATTAAGAAAGCTAAACAGAGTGAGGTGACACATGTTTGTTGTAACCCTAGCTGTGTGAGAGGTTGATGGAGGATTGCAAGTTTGAGTCCAGCCTGGGCAACTTAGTGAGACCCTGTCTCAAAATAAAAATTGAAAAACAAAAAGTTGGGGCTGGTGGAGCATCCCCGGGTTCAATTCTTCAACACCCCACCACAAGAAAGCTGCTAATTTGTCACATGATAAAATGCAATAAAAGATGACAACTGTGAATGAAATCGTTCACAATTCACCATGCAGCATGGTGTGCTGAAATGAGCTTGGGACTGGAAAGTGGAAGTCAGAGATTCTAGTGCAGATTCTATCAGTAGCTTTCCATAAAGAACTACTGCTCCGGGTCCCTGTCTGTTCTTTCATATAGAGGGGTTGACATATGACTGATTTCAGCTATTCAAACATCCCACAAATTTTGCATGTCCTTAAACCATCATTAAATCCAAAGCAAAAATATAATTTCATAACTTGAGAAACAGATAATCATTTGTTAGCTTCAGTGAAACTCGGTATAGTGATTGTGTCTCCATGTGAAAGTAAACTTCAGGTTCCCATCAGGCCATAAAATTCCAAATGTTTGCCTACTTAATAAGTTCCACCAGGCACTCAGGTACTGAAGAAAGGTTTGGAGATGATAGATCTATATTTGCAATGAGGGCGAGACCCTAGGTTTAAAAATAAATGAGTAGGATCCTTGGATGTCATAGCTCAGTAGATAAGAATGTGCAGTAGAGTACAGCACTATTTTACTGCTTATTAGGTGGGGCCTGGAGCATGTTCCTTAATCTCTGTAAGCCTCATTGCCTTATCTAGATGATGGGAAAAAACAGCAACTGTACTTCATTGCCGAAAGCATTTTTGAGATAACACATGTGAAGTAGAATTCCAGACACCTCCTGAGCACTCAATAAATGCTAGCTGTATTAGTCCACTGTTTGTTGCTGGGACCAAATACTGTACATAAACAACTTAAAGGAGGACAGGTTTATTTTGATTTGGCTCACAGTGCTTTCCGTCCACTGTGAGTTGGCACCAGGGCAGAAGCATCATGGCGGAAAGGTATGGTGGGGGAAAGGCGCCCAACTCATGGTGGTCACACGGCAGAGTAGGTTGACAGAGCCAGAGAGGAAGGGGCCAGGGGACCCAGGACCTGATATAGCCCCCAGGTCACGCTCCCCAGGACCCACTCCCTCCAACTAGGTCCCACTTTGTAATGGGTCCATTCAGCTAAGAATTCACTGATAACTGGTTGGTGAGTGAGTGACCTCACAATTCAATTGCCTCTCTAGGAATCTCTTAATCTAGTCAGGTTCACTGTCAAGATTGACTGGCACACTAGCTATTAAAAATATCTACCTATCTATCTTAACACTGCTGGGCACAGCGACACATGCCTGTCATCTCAGAATTGAGAGAAACTGAAGCAGAAGAATTCCAAGTTTGTGTCTCACCTGGGCAGTTTAGTGAGATCCTGTCTCAAAATAAAAAAAAAAAAAATGTAGATAAAGGGCTGAGGATGTAGCTCAGTGGTAGAAAGCCCCTAGATCCAGTATTGCATTGTTGAATTCCTATCATCTTGTTTGTTGAAACTCTCTGTAGTTTATAATTTTTTTGTTTTTATTTTTTAATTCCCTTTAATGGTTTGATTAATCTTGCATTCTTACATCTGGTAATCTGACCAACTTCAATGAAGAGAAAAATAGGTAACATAACAAAAAAAATGCAAAAGACAAAACAATAAAACTTTACCATTATTTCTCTTTCTGTCGCACTTATCTAATTGAAGATAATGAATTAAGTCTGTTTTTCATACGGTCCATGTCAAATGGGTGGGAAAAAAGGTGGTATGGGAAGAGAAAAATTGGAGGAAGAGGCTGGGAGAGAAAAAGAGTAGCCATGAAAAAGGCAACTGGGCAACAACAAAGTAGGCCAGGAAAGAAATACAAGGAAGCCAATAGGATTTGTGAAGGAAGCTGCAACTGATTCAGAAGGCCGGGTCTGTGGTGATTGGTGGTCTCAACAGCGCCAGTGTGCAGAGGAAAGGGAAAGATGGCTCAACTGAGACTCAGAGACTCATTGGTTCAACTTTGCTGCCTGTTAGTTTCTTGTGCTCATATTTGGCCCATAACTCCCCTCCTCAGTGAAAGGAGAGATCTGGACTAAGCAGACTTCTGTCTATTTCAGTTCAACACCCTCTCAGATTCCGATAGTCTTTGATAAACATCAAGACACACCAGTTTCACATGAAAGTCCCTGTTAACACACCACCAACTCCTTACCAAAGACACAAAGGGACCTTATGAAATAGTTTTTCTTTCTCCACTTTAGTCTCCTCCCCTCACATGTTCTAGAACTTTCTTTGTAACAACCCTTTTGCCATTCACCATCTGGGTACAAGTGGTAACCAGCCTGAAACTTCCCATTCCACTGCTTACAAAGGGCACGAATGTCTCTGAAATAGAGGGACTTGGTCTGGAGCCAAGGGATACAAAAGTGGAGAATCCTGTGTCCAATATGGGGGTCACATCAAAGAAGGAGGATTGGGATCTCTTGGGCCTATTCAAGCGGCCAGTGGAAAAATAATCTCCTGAGAAAGGGTCTTCATCTTCAAACACGTTGTCAAAGACATTGCGTGGCCTCTCAAAGAGCAGTTCCTCCTCCGGATGACTTTTGTTCCTGCCACCTCCTCTGTATTCCCTTTGGGTGCAATTCTTTCTGGTCCTGTCATAGTCATTGCGCCTCTTGGCATCAGATAAGACCTCATAGGCCTCTGCTACTTGTTTGAATTTCTCCTCAGCTGCCTGCTTATTCTCTGGATTCTTGTCTGGGTGGACTTGTAGAGCCAACTGGTGATAGGCCTTTTTGATGGCAGTGGAGGAAGCATTCTGAGGTACCCCCAGTACTTTGTAGTAATTCACCATGGTTCGTCAAACAGCCTTTCCCTACCAAGACACACAGTTTATTCTCTGCAGGGTGGCCACATAACATTGGAAAGGAAGATGGTGAGCTATTCAAGTTTATCCTTTCGAATCTTACCACATGGTTTTTGGGATGCAGTTCCTTCAGGGAGGGGGAGGAGAAGTTCCTTCTCAGTGCGTGGATCCTTTACATGCCCACTCACACTGCACAGCTCACTGGGGCGGAGTGACTATGAGCTCAGCATTCCAAGCTAATGATGCTCAACTGTGCCTGCCTTGCTATTGGTGGAAAATTTGGGGTGACTACTGTATATCCTAGGGAGGCTTTTAAAAAGTACACATTAATAAATAAATAAATAAATGTGTGCTGATTGGATTATTAACAGAGAGAAACTATATGCATCGTTTTAAAAGTTTTTACCTCATCATAACCCTGATGGGTCTTGCACTTGATTCAGACACACCACGCACTCTTATTTACATCAGGGCCACTGCCTTCAGTGAGGTCATGAGTGTTTCCTTGTGTTATTTAAGATTTGCTGTTGGCACAAAGTGAATGACAAAGGAGCCGTTCTATGAGAAAATAATCTGTACACATTCCTAATTCTGGTAAAAGACTAAAAACCCATTTAATCAAGTGAAGAAACCGGGTCACAGAAATTAATCCACGTAGATTATAAAAAAAGGATAGATGGAGGAATAGAGTTAGACAGGAAGACTTTCCATGTATTGTCAGATAAGACTTCCTCAGTTCTGGTAACATGAGCATTTCTTGAAGTTTATTTCAAACATGGACTTAGGAACTAAACTAAATAACAGCATCAAAACGGCAAGTGCTTTTAAAAATGAAGAGCTTGAAATCCCCAGCATAGCAGGGCTAATTGTCGCTGTCCTTTTGACAAGGATGCACAACTTCACAACTTCCGGACTAGTGTGCCACTCTGGGTGGGCCGTGGCTGAGCTCCGGAGAACGGAATGTGGAGGGTGGAAGCGCACCTCTTCCAGGCCTGCCTCCTACAACCACCGGAGTGGGCTCCGCTTTCCCTGTCTCCATGTACCAACTGCCCGGATGAACTTGAAAGTTGCCAGCTGAAGGTGACAGCCCCTCCAGATGTCTGGGGCTTTCAATTACAGTGAAACAGTGCGTTCCCACCAGCCACTTTGGATTATTTATATGGGCAAGAAATAAACTACTGTAGCTAAACTACTCTATAAGCTTCATCTACTTGTGATGTCAGTTGGTCTACTGTCATATAGTAATCATTTCTACAATTTCATCTTCACCTTTAGAACCTACTTTTGTGATGTCATCCACCCGAACAATCCTACCTCTGTGACAGTAAAAACCCAATGTCCTGTCCTCTCTCTCCCTCCTCACTTTCAATAAACCCAGTTTTTCATTTTATTCCTCTCTCTCCAGGGTTGAGTCTCCTCCAGACTCTTCTTAGGTATGAACTTCTTGTTTGACTGTGGGAGCTATTCTCCATTTAGGAGAAGTCCAGTTCTCGAGCTTTTCTAATTCCTCTACCCAATACAGCTATAAAAACAAAACAGAACCAAGAAGGTGGAACGGTACACATTTGGAGTTTACCAGTCTCAGCTGAATCAGTACAACCTGTCAACAACTCTTTCATTTATCCTCATCTCATTCTCCCATGCTTCTTGGTAGCCTCGACTATTCTCCTCTAGTTCCTTATTAAACCTCTACACTCACCTCTCCACTCTGAGAAGAGGAGCTTCCTTTTTGTTTAGTTAAAAAAAATGTAGAAGCTGTGGGTAACTCTCTTAATGTCTCTGAAGACAAGTTGTACTAATCAGGGTTCTCCAGAGAAACCAAACCCGTAAGATACTGGTTAGATATAACTAAGGTGTGAGTTGGGAAACCAAGAGAGCTGCTGGTGTAATTAAATCTGGGTGTGAATGCCTGAGAATGGTTCGGGGTATACGGGATGGAGTGGATGGCATAGGTCCTCCTCAGGGTATGAAGGCCTAAGAACCAACCAGGGGCACCAGTGTCTGAAGGCAGGAGAAGCTGCATGCCCTAGGTCAGACAGAGAGTATGGATTTGTCCGTCTTCCACTTTTTCTGTTAGGGCCATCGATAGATTGGATGTGGCCACCCACACTCAGGAAGGCCGCCTTCTTTATTCAGTTACTGATTCTAAGTTAAACTCATCCATAAGCTCCTTCACAGACACACCGAGAAATAGTGTTTTTATCTGTGTCTTGCTCAGTACTAATTCTTTGGTATTCTGTTTTCGATATTTGAATATTTTATTGATGAAATTGAATCATCATGAAAGTAGTGGCTGATGTTACATTTAAAAACATTTCACTACGGTAGAATAGGTGTTACATGAAATGTCATGTTGGCCATTTATAAGTGTACTGTAGCATTAACTGCATTGCAACGTGGCACCGTCATCACCACTCTATTTTTAAATTGTTTCTATCACTTCAGTCAGAAACCCTATACCCATTAATTAATAAATCTTCCCTCCCTTCAGCCCCTGATAACTTCTCATTTACTTTGTGTCTCTCTGAAGTTGCCTTTTTAGCTATTCCATATAAATGGAATTGTACAGTATTTGTCCGTCTTATTTCACTTAGCACGGTGTTTTCAAAGTTCATTCCCATTACAGCAAACATCAGAACTTCATTCTTTTTTCTAACTGACTATTCCATTTTATTTTGCTTACCTATTTGCTTTTCCCAGATACTTAAGTGGCTTCCACCTTTGACAATCGGGAATAACACTGCAAAGGCCACGGCACAAGAGTAAGTGTCTGAGTCCTCTTTTGAACTCCTTTGGGTGGAATTGCTGAATCATATGGTAATTCTATGCTTCACTTTTTGAAGAGTTACCAAGCTGTTTTCCACAGCGGCTGCACCATCTAATATTCCCACCAGCAATGTAGAAAAGTTTCAATTTCTCCATTCTTGCTCCTCCAAACTCTTTTGATCTCATCCCTTTTGATATCCTTAAGGGGTTTGCTTCATTTAACTTTCCCCAATTTCCTATCATTTCAACCTACTCAACTCTTTTGGCTGCTTTCCTGCATGTAAAGAAGCCTGACTGTCTCCTCTCTGAGGAACGAGCCCTCATGCCTGCGTGAGCCTCCAGCTACCCGCTCTCACCCACTTGCTCCTCCTCCCTCTTGTGCTCCACACTCCTCCCCAGCAGCTCCATTATAATCCTATTTGCAACTCACCAGCACTCCCAGAATTCCCTGCACTTGACCTTCTTGAGGTATTCTGACCTTGATTATTTAATTTTTCTTGAACTTGAATGGTTTCTATAAAACCTCTCATTACCAAGTCTCTCCTCATTGCCCTGATTATCTTTTCTCAGTTCCTTTTCAAACTGCCTTTCCTCTCCCAACATTTAAGGCTTTGGTATTCCTCAGGGTGCTGCCCTTGGCCCGTTCCCCTTTCTACACGCCTCTCTTGTTCTCTCTCTTCCTATGGCTGATGGTGATTCTCATACCTGCTTCCAGGCCTCACTCTTCCCCTTAGGTGTCTGCTAGATAGCTTCTCTTAAATGACTTAGAGGCCCTCATATTTAATGTGCGCCAATCTGTTACCCCTTTTAAAACTTACCTCCACACATGTTCCAGTGAATGGCACCATTTTACTACTTTCCAATCTGGAAACCTGGCAGTTATTGGAGCTTCCTCCCTCTCCTACCTGTGAGCAATGGCTTCAAGCCTGGAGCTATGGCAGAGAAAGAGACCTGACGAGTTTTCACCCTCTGTTGGCCACGATTACCTTGTTTTGACTGTTTTCTATATATAGTTGTATGACAATGTTCTGTCAGTGACGGCATATATGATGGTGGCCCAATTAAACTATGTGAGTATATCACGTAGGATGTCTAAGTCACGCAAGTACACTCTGGTGTTCTGACAATGAAATCACTACAGGATGCACTGGCCACAATGTAGCCCCATCATTAAGTGATGCATGACTATACTGTCTACTCTACCTCTGCCTTTCCATCTCCAATGGGACTATCACAACAGCTTTCCTGATTTCGGTCTCTTTGTCCTCCAAGCCACCCTCCAGGTTACCACTAATCTGGGGGTTCACAAACACAGATCTCATCATGGAACTCCCCACTTAATATCCTTCAGTGATTCCCTCATGGCTCTTGGGTGAAGTCTGTCTTCTGTGAGCCCAACCAAACTCTCTGTTAACTGGAGCCTTGCCCATTTTCCGTCTTATCCTTGACATTCTCTGCTTCACATCTCCTACTACAAGTTAATCGGAGTTCTCAGCATAAGCCATGTTGTTTTAGGTGTCCATGTCATTATATCTGGTCTTCACTCTGCCCAGAATCTCTATGCTCCTCAGATGCTTCTCGTATCTGTAATAGTGTCAGCTGGCTTTATTAAAATAAGATAATGCCAATCACATTAATAAACATTATTTTACTTTAATAGTTTTATACCTATTTTAATGAGTATTAGAAAAAGCCATAGCAACTACAGAAATAACTGAATATGTAAATAAGCACCCCTCACTTGGCTATTTTATTTTCTATTATACCTGTTCTAATCTCAAACAAATGATCTAACTAACCATTTGGGGCCTTTAATGTAACTGTTAATCCTGATATGCCAACTTCATTGGATTAAGAAATGCTTAAAAGAGATATGTAAAGCAGGCTCCTGGGTGTGTCTGGGTGGGTCCTAGAGGGGTGGCTTTGGGCATTATTTATGATCCCTTGCTCTTTCCTTTCTAGCAGTGTTCCCTGCTGTGCTTTCTGCTCCCATGAGCTAAGCCACTCTGCTCTGCCATGCTCTTTCACCATGATGTTCCTGCCTGGAGCCATCTGACTATGGAATGAATCCCTTCAACCATGAGCTAAATTAAAGTTTTCCTCCTTTAAATTGTATTGGTTATTGTGTGCAGCAACTGGGAGTCTAACTAATACATTTATTTTATATAAATCTATTATATTTCAGTAAAAGTTCAAAGGGTTCTTTCCTCATCAGTTTGTTTTCAATTGTCTTGGCTACTTTCCACCTGTTAGCCTGTGATGGTTAACTGTGTCAACTGGAGTAAGAAACACCCAACTAAATTAGACCAGCATAGTTCTGAGTGTGGCTCAGGGGATTTGCTGCAGACAGAAACCTGAGACATATAAAGGGAAAACGAAGAAGAAAAGCTCACTTGTGTTTCTTCAGAGGAGATCCAGTCTTTGCCTTCACCTTGAATATTGTCTCCTGGATTCCAGTGCAACCGCTT